CAAATATGCAGTGGGGTTTGTGCCACCCTTTGCCCTGGCATTGCTTTGCTGTCCTTGCACTAGGTTGTTCTGTGTTTCTCCTCTTATCCCGTTGCTTAGTATACTGCTGTTTCAGTGAGCAGGCACCAAAGCGGGCCAACGGGGCATTTGGGGTTATATGTCGCCACCTGTAATGTAAAGTACCTTCTTACTCTGAATTATAACAAATTTTAACTAATGGTTTTCCCTAATGCTTTCAGCTGTTAGCCTGAAATATAATGGGAAACATGAAAGTTAAGGGAGGTGTTATGTGGTTTCTGGGACCTTGTCTCTTTAAAATCGTTCAAAACCAGTCTCTCAGTAATTAAGAAACTGGTAACTGTTCCAGGGAGAATAGTAAGAATTGAAGTTGACAGGAATTTTAAAACACTTGTAGGTAATCCCAGTAGTGGGGGGGGGGTGTGGGGTGTGTGTGTATTATTTTATTTCCTTTTTATCTTTTTCCTCCTTTCTCCCAAGTAGAATGGAAAGGCCAACTTTTGTTCAGTAGTTCTTCCTTAATGGAGTATGTAGTGGATATTTTTGTTGAATTTCAATATTAAACTGCTGGTTAAGGCTCATTACATCTTAAATTATTGCAAATACGAACACTTGAACATCATAGAGCTCCTTGTTCTCGTGTAGCTACTTGATTGAGTGCAAAAATTCAAGTTTAAATTAGTTGGTCCCCAAGCAGTATGTTAAAACGCTTTATTGCAGTAGTAACAGTGAATGATGATACAGCTGAGTATTTATTGTTATATCACAATCATAAAGCCAAAATACAGTTTGATTATGCAGGCTTAAGGTGGGCCTGAAGTTAGCCAAACTTGTTCTGAGATCATAAGTATTTTCTATTTAGGCGTGGATTCTCGGATAGTGGAGGAGGACCCCCAGCCAAACAGAGGGATCTTGAAGGGGCAACCAGTAGGTGGGTGTGAAACTGATACAGAGAACTTGCTTTATCAGGAGGAGAATTTATAATAGTAGACTTAAAATACGTAGATTCAGTAACTGTTAATAAGTGATGACTTTCACTGTCTTCTTTAAACATTATGTATTCAAGAGTTACTGGAAATAAATCTGGATTATGGTAATTGTGATGAAATCTTTTTTTCATACTTTATAGCAATGTAAAGATTATAGGAATAACAAAAAGATACAGCAATACAAAGATTCTTGAAATTTTCTTTTTTACTTTGTGTACAGTTGGCTGTATAAAATTGTGCTTTGTAGTTCAGATTTGTTTTACAGTAGACACGAATTATGACTGAGATCTCCCATTCAATAAATTGAATGCGTACAGTGTGACCATAGACTCAGATTTTGAGCATTCACATCTGGGTGCAGATCAGATGTGACTGATTACAGAGAGCTTCATTCTATGGCCACTTCAGTGCAGTGGTAGTTCTTGACTAAAGCAAGCTTTTGAAAAATTCAAAACTTTTGAATTTTTGAGTTAATGCAAAATGAATACTGTAAACAGCTCTACCAGTAGTATAAAGTTCTGTGCCACAAAGCTGAGCATGAAAGCTGAAAATAACTTTTATTTAATACACTGTGTAGTTGTTCTTTATTAAAGACTCGGTTCATCCAAATTTTCAGGTTGTAAGTGCTCTGCCCCCGTTCTGTATGTATTTGGCTGCGTAACATAAATATTATTTCCATTTGAAAAATCATACCAACCTTTATATCTTGATACATTTAAATTTGTCTCATGATCCCCTTATACCAGTAGCCATTTTAGAGATTTAGAAAAATAAAAACATCAAAACCAAGAAATAGTTTCCAAAGGTATCTTAAAAAGTCAAGCATGGTAGTGATGCGGGCTCTTCTGCCTTCCTTTATTGTGCAAGTTGTGTTAAAACTTGAACTGTGTTCTCTCACTCATTTTTGCCAACAGTAGATTCTGTCTGTAAAATGCTACTTACTGGTCATGAGAACAGTTGGGAGAATTTTGCTGGAAGTGTTGGTTCTTCTGTCTAGATATGCTGTCTTGTATTTTTCTCATGTTAGAACAGATGCTGTCCTACATATATGTTCTTTAGTGACCACTAATGTTTTTTCTTAGGCTGGGTGGGGAACGACGGACAAGAAGAGAATCACGCCAAGAAAGCGACGCAGAGGATGACGATATTAAAAAGGTAATTCATGGTAAATGGAGCTGTGCAGGAAGCAACGTACTTTTCTGAAGCAGTAATGAAGTAATTTATTTTTCTTTGTTGTAGCCAGCGTTGCCATCTTCTGTTGTTGCTACCTCCAAAGAACGAACACGTCGAGACCTTATACAAGATCAAAATATGGATGAGAAGGGAAAACAGAGGTATGCAGAAATCTCTTTTAAGCACCAACATAGTACTTCTCTATGCTAGCGTAAGAAGTAGTTTTACATTTTAGAAGTATTGTGCATATGCTGCTATGTATCAGAGATGATGCTGGAGATGTACCATAGTGGTATAAAATTGATTTTAATTTTTTTTTTTTAATACTCTCTCAAAATACGTCAGAGCAGTAGCAACACATTGTTCACATAACTGACAGGAGTTCTACTTCTTAGGCCACCTACAGGAATAGGTTTGCTAGTGCTATTGCCAGTGATCATCCTTGAGTAAGACAGAAATACATATAGCTTCAGTAGTTATTTAACATTTTGGATTGTTACAGCTGTCTTGGTACATCATTTATTTTGTTGTTTGAAGGAGGCTTTTCTTTTGTTTTTTGTTTTGTTGGGTTGCAGTTTATTGGCTTTTTAAAGCAGTAGTTCCAAGTTCCACCATATTTTTTTTCCTATTAGTTTCAGACTCATTGCGTATACAGTCTAACTGTCCTTTTGCCCGCTTTTTAGATTCCTTCTACATGTATCTTTCTCCTTCTCCCCCCATATTTTATTTGTGTCAGGGTAGCTCCTGAAAATTCTTGCTGAAGTGCAGCTCTATTGGGAAGAGGTGTTGGAAAAGCAAACTTGCAACTCTGTCCAACCTCTTAGATTCTGTCTGCTTCAGTCTGCAACTCTGCTGGTGCAATAATAACCCATGCCTCAAATAAGTAGAAGGATAAGAACTTGAATAAGGAACTTACTAGCTTATCTGATAATGCCCACAGATCAGTTAGCACAGAAAAGTCACTTTACTTGCTTTGTTTATAGTTGCAACATTGCTAGCAGACTGCTGTTACTTCCATCGCCAATTTCCAACTTTCCTTACAGAAGGAATTTCAGAGATCTTAGTGGACTTCCTAGAGATTCATGTGCTAAAAGTTTGTTCCCTCAGAATCGTAGTTGTACTGTTTTGCCCTTCAGTAGTCTCTTGGGAAGATGAGAAAACCAGTGTTGGTCTCTATATGACTTGTGGTATAAAGACGTTCTTTAAGAGGACAGCATCCATTGGACTCTTGATTTTTGCTCGGTGTCTTCTGGGATGTCACTCATATAGAGATACCCTTTGAGTAAAGTAATCTCTGGGTCTCAAATCTTCATTTGTTTCTATTTCTACTGTTTAATATACAAGTACCTTTACCTTTCCATGTCAGGTTTGTGCCACTGTAGTAGAGTAGTAAAGAGAGTAGCATTTGCTTTCTTAAATGAGAAATCTCAAGGCAAATAAGAGTCTGCCTCTTGCAGTAAAGAAAGACAAGATGAAGTGCAAGCAATTAGTTCTTGTTCAGAAGAAGGGAATTCCTTGAAGAACTGGATGAGAGCAGTTCAGGTTTCATCCCACAGTGCAGTGTCTGTTGCAGTGGAAGATACTGTTAGGCAGACTGTGACAGATAAACTTTAACTCCCCTCCCCTTTGGCTCCATTTCTCTTTAATCCTCTGAGCGAGGTGGGGGAATATGTTTTTTCAGAAAGCCCAGTGACCTTCCAGTTCACTGCCTTATTGATGGCTCACACTGTGTTTAATCAAGCTGTGCTTCAGTACTCTCTGCTTTTGAATTTTTAAAATTTTTTTACATTTCCTTAGTGTCATTATTTCCAGATGTAAAATGTGCAAGCTTAAAATTTTTCCAGTGCTATCTGTGCAGTGTTACGGATAAGAGCTGTGTCTTACTCTTAAGCAGAATATGATATGTCACTGTAAATTATATCCTTGACTGTTGGCACAGTCAATATGTGTTCTATTGCTACTGGCATAGAGTAATACTGAGCCTTTAAAAATAAATGTCTCTGAGGTAGGAAATTTCTCTGATTTGTATGGAAATAAAAATCTTGGGACTTGGGACTGAATCTCGACTTTTTTTTTTTTTTTTAATTCAGGAATCGACGTATATTTGGCTTGTTGATGGGCACTCTTCAAAAATTTAAGCAGGAGTCCACAGTTGCTACTGAAAGGGTATTTATTTCTAGTTTTGTCAGATTGTAAATAATAAAGCAAAACTGTGTGGTTAAGCTGATTCATATAGGAATGAAAATTCCTCAAGCTGCAGGTGCAACAAATTGGTAAAAGTGCATATAGGTTTTGGTTTGGTTTGGTTTAGTTTAGTGTAATGGGTGTGGGAGGCAGGAAAGGGTCACTAACAATTTCATTACTTCACAGCACTTTTTCTGACCATTGCAGAAATGAAAAAGCAAGGTTTTGCTGATTGTTTTAATTGCTGTCCATATTGAAAACACAAAGTGGGTTATCTTTTTGTTTTACTTACTTGGGGATTGTTTCAAAGTAAATGGAATTTAATCAGGTTAACTATTTAATAGGCCATAGGATATTTCTGTAAGTGACGGTGATTCAGTATTGCTGAAGCAGTGCCCACCCTGATGCATTCCAGATGTTTAAATTATAACCAATCAAGTATACAGACATATGTGGTTGTATCTTGCTATCTGTTTGACTACAGATGGCTTCCCCCACTGAGTATGGATAACAAGAATACCCACTTCTAATGAACGGACATGTAATTGTACTGAAGTGAAGGCTTTGCTTAGTGTAGTGGCAATTTCAAAGAACTTGCGTATAGCATGGCGGTAACTTTATTCCTAGTGTGTCCTTTTAAATTGTGAAGGGTACAGTATTTGTTTACACTTGCCCTAAATGGGTTATTCAGTTGATACAAACCTTTAGATTAAAAACAGTGTTTGGAAATTCTACTTTCAGCAGTCTGGTGGAAGCAGATACAAAGTCCTTAAAACCTTTTCTGTGTAGTGTTACTATATCTGGCTTGCAGTGCTGGTATTGATTACTTTCAGATGTGGTATTTTGATATCCTCCTGTTTTATCTATCTTGTGATGTAGCACATGAGAAAAGACCAGAGTTCTCTGTTGCCTGCTTGCCTTTAGAACAAGAAAATACTGATGAGGATGGTCTAGAAACTGAGTCCTTATCTAATTTATAGTAGTATGTATTTGCATAAAGAGATTTTGAGGAGTTACTGCTTTTTGCAACATTTTTCTGAGAATTTGTGTAGACAGTGTTCTCTTCATACATAAAAAGCTGCTATAAATCAAAGTAGAGGCCTGAGAAGTGTTACAACATAGCTATTTAGTTGTTCAGGCGCTAAAATGTGTTCTTTATTAGACAACTATTGTACAATCTGAGCATATGGCTGTGTAGGACATACAAACAGGGCATTCCTGGATTATAGTAGTATATCTAATTAGCAATTAATATACTGGAAGTATTTGCAATGTAATTTGTTTTGTTGGTCACAAACACCAGTCTGCAGTACTTCATTTGTGTCTGGGCAAGTTGACTTTTTCCCCTCCAAGTGGAATACATGAAATCTATTTCTCTCTTTTTTGCCATTGGGGGGGTGGGGGAACATATTGAAGCTTGTACTGAAAATTCAAATCCAAACTGAATGATAAAAAATCAGACAGAAATAGGGCCCTGTAATTTTATAGTTAACCCACAAAAAATGAGGTGCCAGCAAGCACTGACACTATTTTCTTCCATTATTTGTAGTTTAGGAGATGCTTCTTAATGGGTCTTTAGGAATGCCTTTAATGGTGTAAATAAAAATTTTAAGTGGCCCAAACTAGAATGCTTTCTTGATTTAGAAAAAATATTTAAGATATTTCTTTGTCTATCTTAGCAAAAGAGACGCCAAGAAATTGAACAAAAACTTGAAGTGCAGGCAGAGGAAGAAAGAAAGCAAGTTGAAAATGAAAGGCGAGAACTGTTTGAAGAAAGACGTGCTAAACAGACAGAGCTGCGGTTACTGGAGCAAAAAGTTGAGCTTGCCCAGTTGGTGAGTTTTAGCTTTGCTCGTGATCTTTCTCCTGTTTAAACTGTTCTTGTGTATTTTAGGGTTATTTTCTTTCATTTCTCAGCAAGAAGAATGGAATGAACATAATGCCAAAATAATTAAATACATAAGAACAAAGACAAAACCCCACTTATTCTACATACCTGGCAGAATGTGTCCTGCTACGCAGAAGTTGATGGAAGATTCACAGAAAAAGATGAATGGTAAGTGGCCTTTGTGATACAAAGGCCCTTCTTCTTGCCTCCCTTTGTTTGCTGTATAAATTTCTTTTAAGCTTGTGCTGAAATACATACATTTCAGGACAAACTGTTCTTGCATAGGTGTTCATCATAAGTGAACATGACTCTTTCAGTGACTTTTGTCGGATGTGCTTTGATTCTTTCAAGAGAAGTCAAAAGGGGTATATGCGTGATCACAGAGATACGTTTAAAACAGTTCTTTCTATTAATTAGCTTTATTACACAGATGTATACCAGTGCAGCAACTTAAGTTTTGAAAAAGCAGATTCTATGGATTGAAGACCTGAGAAAATGCAGGATTTTACTGAGGATATGAGAAGCATTTTCTTAAGCACAGCACTAAACTTTATAGTAATTTTTTTTTGCCTTAATGTGTCTTCATTTCTGTTTCGCAGGATGACTATGTTTTTTCTTTTGGAAAACAATTTAAAATACTCCGGTTGATGGTAGTCTTACTGTTCCTTTTTATCAAACTGAGAACGTATTTGGTGGTTTGGGTTGGGTTGGGTTTTTTTATTATTTTGTTAAGGAGCTGCTTCATCATGTGGGGTTGGGGTATAAGAGAAGCTAGCTCTCTCATCTGAGTATTTACATTATTTAAGCTTTCTTAATACCTAACGAGCTTTTTGCTAATTCTTACTGTCTTTTGTTTACCTTAGGAAGTATAACCTTGTTAATAAATAAATACCAGGAAATTCAGTTATTATTTTGATATACTTTTGGCTGGATTTTTGATGTAAGCGAAGTCAAAAATTCTTTTTGTTAGCTTAGATTTAGGGCTTTACTGTTCTGATGCTCAGCTGAGCTGTCACTATTCCTTTTGCTTTGTTTTCTTAATGTAACTAGCAATCTTTTTCATTATGCATGAATGGCTTCCTAATTCAGAATGAGTAAAGATGCAGTACTTATAAGTGAAAACAATTTGATAACTTACTAGCTTACAGTTAAGGGGAACATAGACTTCAGTGTCTATGCATTATCTGAAACTACTATTTATGCCTTTGTTCCCTAGCACTCTTTGAAAGCAGGCGAAATGAATTTGCGGAGCAGATTAACAAAATGGAAGCCAGGCCCAGAAGACAGTCTGTGAAGGAAAAAGAACAGCAGGAGGTGCAGAATGAAGAAAAGAAGCAAGAACAGAACAAGGAGCAGGAGGAGGGTAAGATGCCTCAGCAGGTGGAAGAGTTGGAGACAGGTAATCAGCACAATGATGTAGAAATGGAAGAGGTAGGGGAGGAGAAGGGAAAAACAGGTTCAGGGCATAGTGATGCAGAGAAAGAACAGGAAGAGGATGAACAGAAACATGAAATGGAGATTAAGGTAGAAGAGGCTACTGAGGTGAGGGAGAATGACAAGCAACAGGATGGTCAGCATGAAGAGGTCACAGTTGTAAAAGAGGAAAGTGAAAACATTCAGCCAGTGGATAATGAGCAGGATGTGGCTGAAATGAATGATGCAGGTGGTATAGAAGCTGTAGAAAATGAAAATGGCAAGGAAGTGGAACCAGAAACAGAGTGTGATGCTCAGCCAGAAAAAGGGTGTAACGTGCCTTCTCCCAAGATGGAGAAAGGTACCAAACCAGAAATTGAAGCTGAACCTGAAGAAAAACAAGAGAAGGCACCTGAAGGTCAGCTAGAACCTGTGGCTGAGCCTCTGTCTCAGCCACAGTCTGTGCCACTGTCACAGTCACCTCAGTTGTCTCAGTCCACTCAGGATACAGAGCCCCAGGCAGACAAGGATGAAAATGCTGTGGTGTCTGTAAAGGTAGTTGAGGCACAGACAGAGCAGAATCAGACACCCAGTGTAGAAATTAAGAGTAAGACGAGGAGTAGAAGCAGGGGTAGGGCAGGGAACAAAACTGGTAAGACTCATAGCCATAGTAGCAGCAGCAGTAGCAGTAGTAGTACTTCAAGCAGTACTAGTAGTGGAAGTAGTTCCAGCACTGGCAGCACTAGCAGCCGGAGTAGTTCCACCAGCAGCAGCACTACAAGTGGAAGTACTAGCAGGGACAGTAGCAGCAGTAGCTCTAGCAGTAGTGGAAGTAGAAGTCGTAGCCGAGGAAGAGGGCATAACAGAGATAGAAAACGCAGAAGGAGCACAGACAGAAAGCGGAGGGATGCTTCAGGAGTAGACAGAAGTCACAAGTCTTCAAAAGGTGGGAGTAGAGATACCAAAAGCTCAAAGGATAAAAGTTCAAGATCTGACAGAAAGAGATCCATATCAGAAAGTAGTCGGTCAGGGAAGAGAACTTCACGGAGTGAAAGAGATCGTAAATCAGACAGGAAAGACAAAAGGCGTTAACAGAAGAGACCAAGCTTCCTTAGTGTAATCTTTGCAGCGGAAGATTATTTGAATGAAAGGATTCCTTGTAAGGAGGAGAAGGCTGCCTTAAGAATTGCATGCTGTAAAAAATCTTTTGGAAAACAAATGCAGACTGTTTATCAGGCATTCTTGTACTTTTTACATAATTTTGTAAAAGGTTACTTACCAAAACATTGTGAAGTTCCTGAAAATGTAAAAATAAAGGATTAACACTCCTTTGCATCTTTTTTTAAATATCCTGTACTCATTAAGGTCCTCTGTATATTTTAATAGGCAAATCTTTAAGTAGGTGCGATCGCTTCTGTATCATACAGCTTTTTATTTTGTAGAAATAAATGTGCATTTTAAATAAATTGAAATGTCCTGTTGACAATTAAATTCCCCCTTTAGATCATATGTAGGGAGGCAATATTGCAGGAAATGTAAAATTTTGCTTTTCCCTTCTATTTGTTGTGAGACTGGGCATCTTCAGACCCAGTAAAGGGAGCAATCTCTCCAGTGCTGGGTAGGAAGGGAAAATAATTGATTTGAATCTATACTTTTTTGTTGTGTAATCACAAGCTCTTGCTCAATTCCGTCTTCCACTTTTATAAAACTTTTTCCTATCCATAGGCAAGCAGTGATTAGATGAGAATGTTAACATTGCCAAGATAGCTCAAGTCAGTCTGGAATACCATTCTTATCTGCCATCTGCAGGTGCTTTGGTAGTATGTACATCTATGTTCTGGAGACAGTTAATCTGTTTAATGATGTTCCTTGCTTTGATGGCCAGTGGACGAAAGACTTCAGCTTGCTTCTCAACCAGGATTCCCTTTATTTTAGCTACAGACTAATATTTGACCCCCTCATACCACTAGGAATAATTACATTGCAGTGTTGGAGTTACCTGGGACTACCTAATACTAATGTTATGTGTGTGCAAGAATGATTTCTGAATGTGTTTAATACAACTGGAAGTGGTATGGTGTTTATCCATGAAGGTGAATACTGTTTTTATATAATTTTGTATGGAAAACAATAACATGTTGCTGTTCTGTACATGTGCAAATAAATGTGGCTTTGTAGACTACTCTTGATGCCTATGATGTTTTCTGTAGCACAGGTGTATTTCCTTAGTCTTTCTACATTTAAAGTGTGAATCATAATTACAGGTGGCTGTACCTTAGAAGCTCTGTATTCAAAATTGTTTTCATAGGCTTCAGTTAATGCCTGTTTACTGAATATGAAACACTGCTATAATCCATGTTGTCTTGGCAGGAAGAAGTCTCATATTGCAGATCAGGTAGTCCAAGAGAGATTTTGGAATGGAAATGAGATTTAAGCTTCTTTTAGTGTAAGAAATGCCATATATGCCCCATTTTTCTGGAACATAGAGCAGACTCTTGGAAAGTTCTACATTGGGACAGTGTCAGTTTTGGGATTTTTTTGTCTGAACTCAGAGTAGTGACAGTCTTTTGTGTTATAAAGTGCTGAACTTCCTGACTTCAACAAATATGTCTAGCAAGGGATGAAGTGGGAGTGTTCTTTCAGCACAAATAAAAGCAATGAGATGGTTCCTCAGGCTCTCCTCAACAAGTTTAAGACCTTATTCTGATTCTTCAGTCCATTTGTCACATGAGTATTCTATTTGCCTCTGCTTCTCTACAACTGAGAATCATTTTTCGTTCTTGTTCAGTCTCCAACCATATCCTTTTTCAAAGGAATATGATTTAATGTGCCACCTTTTTTGAAGGACAACCACAAATTCAAATGCCTTATTGAAGACAAACAGCAGTTTACCACAGGGAATGAACTTTTATACTAAGTAGCTGAGTAAATGTTACTGGCTTACATGTTTCAACTAACTTCACATTTCACATTGCTTTTGGAAGCCTCACTCTCCACCCTGACATTGGGTATTTTTAAGGTTTCTTATTTTGAGCTTAGTTGGGTGATTCACTGCTGTTAGTACATGTACCGTATGGGTTTTAATGGCTGATACTGCAGTCACACAGATTGATGGTGAAAAACCACTGTTTCAGAGGTGCGAATTAACAGGGTTCATAAAAAATAATGTGGTGGTTCCTGGTAACGGAAGTTGGGATTGGGTTGGTTATGTTGTTTTGGGTATGTTGCAGGCAGGACTGTATCTTTGTCAAGGTGAAGATACAGGGGCTTTGTTGCCGAGTACAAGGCTGGTAGTTTAAAGTTTGTTAGAAGAAACTGCCATGGTTAAACTGTTAGAGGCTGAAACATGACGTTCCTATAAGGGTACATCTCTTCAAATTCCTGCTCCTTTATTTAAGGTGGCATCTGTGCTTAGAACAGCTTCATTGTGTGTATTCAGAGAAAATTGGAACATATTTTTTGTGTGGAAAGTCGGTGAACTAAACACCCCCCTACAGGAAAATTAATTTTCAAACCCAGTGTATTTGCAAATAGATTTCTAGAGCATCTTTTGTTTATCCTGACAGTACTGGTCTTGTTGTTAGGTCCCAGTTGTAGTTTTGAGGTGCAGGTTCAGCTGCTGATTTTGCAGCCATTACTGTTGGCACAACAGGCAAACCTATTCATTTTATCTGTGCCTGAGATCTTTAAAATGAGTTTTCCTGCTCAAGGAAGTATTTCTCTGAGTACTACATATATTTATTATGGGATCACATGCTGTGGCAGTGGGGTATGGGTAATACATGGAGATCTGTGTTTTGGAGGATAAAATTTAGCTCTTTGAGATTTCTTCCCTCTTCCCCCATCCCAGTTTTGTAGCAAACCTGTGTGTTACCACAAACCCTGTTCAGGCAGCTGTTACTAGGTGATAGTGTTCTATTACATGGCAAAACATGAGGCATTCGAAGCTTGGAAACGTATTATCAAGATTCGAGGTAATACAAGGCATAAATTCCATGATTTGTTAGAAATGCACTGTGAGTTTTCATGCCTGTAACTGATTTTGTAACAAAAGAACAATATGGCTTTTTCTATTTGTCATCCTGGCTGAAAAAGTTGGTTTAAATCTGCATGATGAATGACTGTTACCTGTTTAGATTTGTCTAACTGGAAGAGTGAAGTAGTGTTCCTTTTCTTCCTTTGACTTATTTTTTAAAAGATAAATGTCATACCAGAAAGATTTTGATTTTTTTTTTTTAACATTTTATTCAGTGTCAAATTTGATCTATATTTTCATCCAAACCTCCAGAGCCAAGAGAAGTATAGTTTTGAAGTGCTGTTGCCATGGACCATATTCTTCTATGGATTAGTGCAATATTTGACACAGTGAAACCCTACATTCTGTATGGAGCTCTTTGGTGCTATCATAAGAATATAACCAAAGCTGTATGTACTGTTGTTATTATAAAATAGATGTTGACTTTAATGTACTTAGGAGAATTTTTACCAATTTATTATTTGCTTTTGGATCTTCATTGTTAATGCAGATACTGAATAGTCTAGGAAATGCAGTATCTCTTCTGCTTATACAAAGCAATGTCTTAAAAGCCATTCAGGGTGCCACACTACTCAGTTTATCTAAATTATACCGGTAACCCCAAATTGATCCTTCTGTGAATTTTAATGTAAGGGATTTCTGCATTTCTAGCTTGGTAGCTAACAAGATGTCATTGCAAATAAAAGTTAATAGTTTCATCCTAATGAAAGCTCTTGGAAATAGATCTTTTTCATTTGTATTGTTTGTCTTCATGTGTGTAATAGTACTTACATTTGTTGCTTCATTTCTGCAGAACAGAAGTTCACTGAAATCTCTATCTGCTATAAAGCTTTCAACTTTGTCCTTTGGAATCCAGCTATGATAAATTCCCTGAATCTTTATCTTTGACTGTAGTTCAAAGGTGATTAGAAGTTCTGTGTGTGTAACACCTGCAATTATAGGGTATACACCCAGAAGAAAACAGTATTTTATATAAATGATTTCCTACTGAGGTTACTAGTGGAACAAATAATACAGAACAAGGATCAGAGCAGTGCTCATTAGCCTTTTAATAGCTTCAAGCCTAGAATGACTTGAGACTAGGCTACTTGAAAAAAGAAGACATAGATGAAACTGAGTAGCCAAGGCGGGAGGCAACATTTTATCTCCATATAAAACCTTGAGAATTAGTTTGGGTATCAACGTGAAACTGAAGTCAGAGCCATTTTCAGAGCTTTTTTGACAAACGCAGTGTGAAGATCCCAAGGTGTGGGTCTGATAGTTTGCTCTCCCACACAAACTAGGCCCACTATTGGGCTTCATCCCATGTTCTATGGTTGGTTTGCAACATAAAAGACTCTTCTGAGCCATTGTTAACCTTGGTGGGATAAAAATGTTGTCCTTTTTTTTTTTTTCCCCAATACACGTTTTTTGTATCTTCTCATCAATTGGTCCTAATCTGTAGAGATTTGGGAATGAAAACAAACCACCAAAAAACCTCACCACCTGCTTTTCTGCTCACCATTTCTTTGAGTTTGTCATGTTTTAGCTGCTTGGTATTCCATTTCTCCCCTTACACCTCCTACAGATAAACCTAGAAGACCCCAGGGAAGGTCCCAAATCACTGACTCCCTAAACCACACAAGATTAAGAGAATGTTGATGCTGGGGATGGGGCTGCATTGGAGCTAATTTGAGTGGAGCGAGTGAGGCTTGCTGATCTCTAGCATATTTTCCCAGGTGCCCAGGACAGTTCTCTGGTGGATTACCTAACAGCAGAGGCAGCTGGTGTGCTAGGTCATAGGATAGGCCTGTCTGACTACCAGGTCATGTGGTGAAGGAAGGGGCCAAAGTGTTAGATTGCAACTGGAGAACATGTCATTTACTGTGATGTTTTTGTTTGCAGGTTAACATGACCCTGGTGCACTTTGTGCCCCCTCCCAGTTACAAGTAGATGACCAGTTTGGTGGCTCAGTAGATCAGACTAAGCAGAAGCGTCTGGCAGGTTTGAGTTGCGGAGCAACTCCGTGGAGGGAGGGGGAACTATGCTGCAAGTAGGATACAGCTTAGGTTCATGGAGAGAGAAAGCAGAGCAAATTCTATGTGAGTCATAATTGAGACTGAAGGAGGGGCAGGAAGCATATGACTGCAAATACTATCAGGCTGGGAAGGAATGCAGCTATCGAGAGAGAGGAGCAGCTACCACACGCAGGAGAGTGGGAAGGGTGAAGCCCCTTTTGTACGCAAATTAGAGGTACTGTGTTTAGGTCACCAAGGAAGTGTAGGACAACAATGCAAAACCTTTGAAGCTGAGCTTACTTGTGATGCAAACATCTCTGCAAGATTTCATTTATAGCATAATTTGATACCTAACATCACCAGTGTATAAGTCCCTGCATAATCACTATTTTAAAGCATAACCCATATTTGAGAAAATATTATTTATAATGCATTATCCATATTGGATAATAGGTTGCTAAGAAGCAGAGGGTTTTCCTTAAAAACCAGGACATATCATCTGCTTAGCTTTGGTATATTGCTCTGTGATACTTGATGTAGAGACAGCATATGGATTTTCTAGTTATCTCAAGAGACTGAAAACTGCCTTTAAAAGACTCTGGAGTTCAGAAAGTATTCCCTGTGCTAAGGGATTGTATTCTGCATCAAGTGCATGAGAAAATTTCAACAGAATATGTGGAAAAATATTCTGTTCAAAGTTTCCAATGATCGCCTATTATCTAAAATATATCACTGCCTGCAAAATATAGTTTGTTAAAAAAAGCTAGAAAACTGTCAGTAGCTATACTAGCAATCATGCAACTCAATATAAGCATGAAATTGACAGTCCACCTTAAAATCAGATGAAAGATGTGTTTTAAAAATGCATTCATAATCCAGAAAAAATCCTAATAAAGCTCTTGCTGAGTTTCTGCTAACAGTCTTTCACAAGCTCAGTACAAATTAAGCTGTCTGATACACTAAATTTTGATGTGACCAGAACTAGTTTCTCTATTCAAAACATCAGCCTAGCTATCGGAACATAGTTAATTATTAAATATGTGTGTATGATCAGGACACCTGACTTTGCCGAGCAGGTTAGCAGAGTGTACTGCTATTTAAACAGATGAGAGAAGGAAAACAGGTTTATAAATTTATTTGCAATGTTTTGTTAGGCTAAGAAAAATAATGTTCTTGCTATCTGCACATTGATGCAGTTTCCAGTTTCAGTGCATTCCAGATTTAATCTAAAATGTCAAGGATCTTGGATCAGAGAATTTTGCTTTTAGTAATTTCATTTTCAGCAAGTCTGCAGAGTACAACCGTACTTTCAGAATGGAAGAAGTGTGGTGACCAGGAATGTGAGAGTAAGTAAAAAAGTTTGTTGTCATTTTTAAAAGGAGTCTATGGTATATGTGCAGTTGCTACAAACCATAATGTTTAAATCAGCAATGAAACAGGCTGAAAATTAGTAACCACAGAAAATGTTTGTTATCAATATAGTAAGTTTATGAGCAATAGGCTTAAACTTTTCAAACAAAACCAGAAAAAAATACTTACCAGATTGCGTTGTGTAAGTACATAAAGATCAAAGTTCAGTGAAAATACTCTTGAATGGCTGATTTTTCTCGAGTTTTCTCAAAACGGGCCGCACAAAGCACCTTTAAAGTATTTTAAACTCATTCTTTACAGGTACAAAATAAATGAAAAAAAAAAAAAAAAAAGGTAGGCTCTAGGCTGAGAGAGAAAACTGTATGCCTTGGGTTCAGAGTACATTCAGAGCCCATTCTGCAAAACTCCAGGATTTTATACTGCAAGCGGAATGTTTGTTTTTACAAAAGACCCTGACAGTATACCTTCTTTACTTATTTTTTTCTTCTTCAATATGAACTAAGAGCAGTGAGTAGTTATGCAGTTCCTGGAGAGTGACAGCTCTGTGTAAGGTGGAGCCACTGAATCACAAGTGGGCAGCAATAAACAATGCCCCATTTATTATCTGTTGATTACCATTGTGAAGCCTGTCATAATCATATGTAGTTGAAACTGTTTCTAAGCTGCCTCCACTGGTCTGGCAGCCTCAACTGTTACTTTTTCCATATGGACAGCTTACCTTGAAGTGGAAGAGATAGATTGGTGATGGACTCTTACAGTCAGCCACACTGACTTCAGTCTGGATGCTCAGAGAAGTCTGTCTTTGTAGAACACTGTATGGAATGGGCTCCAAACTGACCAGAGTACATGAGTAGTGGTGGTTTCTGTGGGGAGGCAGGGGTGAAGACAAAGAGAATTTGAAGTCATTCAAACTGAATTGGAAACTTTGTTTTGACAACATGTTTAAGGTTTATAGTGCTTAAACTTACTTATTTTCTTTATAAGATAAATGTATTCAATATAGAGGACAAAATCCCTGAAATATTTACTAGATTTAACTTAGAATTTCTAAAATATATAAACATGCCTGGGAAATATTTTTTAGCTGTTTAGATCTGGGTTTAGTACTTGAATGTGCTAATTCTCCACATGCATTTAGGCTTTGAAAGCTTTGTTGAATAAGGATGGGAAAATTTCCTTATAGGACAAGTATTTTCCTCCCTGAAAGAAGACAGGATAGGGCTGCTTTTTGCTTGATGATATAAATGCATTAGCCTCAACAAAGCACATTGATGTATTAACAATTTTATGTTTGTTACAATGATGTATTAACAATCATGTTAATAATTGTAAACAATGTAAACATATAAACAATGATGTTAATACAATGATGTATTAACATTTTAATGTATTTATATATATTAGACTTCTTCAGTAACCTATCTGACTTATGGCTGCTATACTTACTTGTTTCATTCTTCCTACATACTTTTCCAGCGGGAATGAGCAGAGTTCATGCCACTACAGACTACTTAGGGCCTGACTGCCGGTATCTTAACTTCAAAACAGGGGAAGAGATAATCGTATACTCCAAACTTTCAAGGAAAAATGAAAACTTGTGGATAGGAAGTGTAAGTACTTCAATCTGAAAGACTTTTCCCATAAATAATTTAGCTAGTATAATAATAGCATAACAACTGTGGTCTGCTTGCTTCTGGGAATCTTCCATCTCTTCTGTAATATTAACCATCAGTTAATATTATAGTCAGTACAGTATTTGGGAGATGGGTCACTGTTGTCATCTGTATATAGAAAGGTAAAATCAAATCTTGGCAAAGATCACCCATGGAGAAACAAAGTCAGGATCAGAATCCAAGTGTTCTGTCTCCTTCCTTTAAGCATTTGGCTATAACAATTTAATCTGGTTCCCTTAAAAACATTCAGGTCTATCAGGTCAGGTACCTACCTACAGGTCTGTGAGTAATGTTTTTCAGTCATTTAGTCAGCAATCCAGTACTAGGACCTGACTTCATAGTTCAGTGCCCAAGGAAAGTTCACAGAGAAGTTATGCATATTTAATGATTTGGAACAACTGACAATGTACAAACAATGTATAATGTAGAACAGCCGTGTAGTTATGCTATAGCTAAGAAGGAATAGATGCATTGATCCAAATCCAACTGCTAGTAAAACTGTGCCAGTCCTTCAAACCTAGAAGATACTGGTAAACTTTTTTTTTTTGTAAATGATCTATCACATTTATTGTGTAACGATGAAATTCTGTCTTCCTTTTTTTCACCCAAGAATATCTTTGCAGGCACCTCACTATTCTTTGCTTTCCAAGTTGCATTCCTCTATTTAAAAGCTGTGCGCAATGGTTTGATGTAAAGCTGGTGGTTGGTTGTTAGGTTTTTTGTTGGACTGACTCTTACTTGATTCTTCTGTGCATTATCATGAACTTTCTGTGGTGTTGCCACCTTCACTGCCATTTTCTCTTCAGCTGGCCTCACACCTGAATTTCATATCCTACTTTTCTTGTAGCTTGTTATGGGTCATGACTTATCAAGGCACATTTTTTCTCCCCCTTGAGTCAATGGCAAATTTGTAGCCAATTTTAGTAGAAGCTGGCTGAGACCATCTGTGCTCACAACACTGTCTTCACTTGAAGCAGTGCTAAGGCTACTGGTTTAGTTCTGGCAAACACGTGTTCGTTAATACAGAAAATAACAGTATGGATTAATATACTTCCCTTTGCTGTCTGAACTGGCAATGGAACACTTCGGTGAAGGAAAAATAAACCAGTCTTTTGCCCAAACATAAGTAAGTGGTTAGGAAGCAGCCCTATAAACTTAGCGTCTATTCATGCTTTTCTAGCATGAACGCAAGCACCTACCATACTTATCACTGAAGCTCAAATGTCCTCATTCCTTTTATATTTTTTATAGAAAGGAAAGGATTTTGGATATTTCCCAAAAGATGCTGTGAAGGTTGAGGAAGTTTTTACTGTGGAAGAAGTTGAAGTGCTCACTAAGGTAAACCAAGATCACCAGATTTTCCAATGTCATTCACAGCAATTGAAAATCTAATATCCAGGTAGAAATTAAAGTGTTAATGCGCATTTTATTTCAGATAAATCAAAACATGTTTTTTCATTATTGTGCCATTTGCATGTTTATTGTTATTTAAAGTAATTTTTATCTAATAAATCATAACTACTAGGAATAATATAATTATTTACAGGCCTTTGTGTAAAGTTATATGCATGTATAACTATACAGACAGAAAAAGAATAAAGATATTGCTGTGCTACATGGAGCTGTAGAAAATTACAAATGAAGACACTTTAAAAGTTGATATTGTTCTTTCAGGAAACTGATTTTCTTTGTCTTCATGGACATAAGTACACTTATGAAAATGAAAATAGTGCATTACATGATCACAACAAAGAAAGAGAATATTCATCATCTGATGCAGAATCAAAGCTGCATGAAAATGAACTCTTCAAGTATACAAGAGAATCTATGCAAAAAGAAGAAAAGGTTGAATCAGTTTCTGAAAATGATTCCAAGGAATCTCACACTCAGGAGGAGTCTGTAAGCAAAGAGTTGTTTATGAAAAATGAGAACAGAAGAGATGATACTGAAAAGCCAGAAATGCAAAACAGTTTCCCAGTAGAACCCATTCCAACTCGGTCTAGCTGGATTGCAGGATGGTTCACCACAGAAAATAAAAATGGAGAGCCCTTAAAAGCCATTACAGAACCCTTAGGAGAAAATACCTACCGAAGCAGAAAAATAATGGTAACTGCTGAAAATGATTTACAGGAGTCAAATGAGAAGGAGGAACAAGAATCCCCAGCATCTGCTTGGTTTCAAGGTGGACTGACAGATTTCCTGTATTTTGGTGAACAGAATGTGGATGTTGGTTTGGCATCTGAAAAAAATTATCTACAAATCCATGATGCTTCTGGTGTGCCTGAACTTTTCAATAATGAACAGGAAACAGCAGTGACAGAGTTACTGACAGAAGAAAAGAGTGAAAGCCAAGAATCTGGATCAAATTGGTTTAATTTGGATTTAAGTAATGTTCTTAATTTTGTCCATGCTGAGAAAGTTGCAACTGCTGTGCAAGAGCAGCAAAGCAGAGAAACACAGGATGAAGCAAATAATAATGAAGTGCAGACTTCAGAACAGAAAGAATCAGACATGGAAAAAAAAACTAAGGAGATGGTTAAAGCAGTGATGGGTGAAGATGATAAAGAGAATTATGCACAAGAAATAATAGATTCAAACATGCCAAATCCTGGGGAGATAGCAGCAAGTGTGCATACTCTTAATGACACCAAAAGCACAGAATTATTTTTTGATATGCCAACAGGTGACAAAGAGAAGCCAATTGAACCTTATGGTTCAGAACAAGACTCGGTATCAGAAAGCCAACTGCTGAAAGACACTGAAGCTAAAAAGAGAAATCAGGAGTCAGAAAGTAAATATGGACAGTCAGGTTGGTATACAAATACCTGAAATAGATTTGTTAATTGTAACACATATATATATATTATAATCAGCAGGGATTATCATAGGAGAATTGTGATCCCTCAGACAAAAAACACAGATGAGAAGCCTGGCATAGCTGAAGAACAGAGCCATTTCTTTTCTTTCAGTCATTTTGCAGACATACAGTTCAACAGCCAAAGAGAAACGAAGGGCAGAGTTTGCAGGATGATGTGTTTTTTAGTGAAGAAGCCTTTCAAACTGAAAATTATGGTAACATGTTACAAGGAAATAGTAACAGAGCAATGAAAGTATAAGTAAGTCAGAGAGCTAGGGAGGAGCTGTCTGAAGATACAGGTGCAATTCAGGAAAGCAATCTGTTTTGCTCACTAGCTGTACAAAACACTGAACACAGTAATGAAAAAGCAAAATGTTTTGTCGAATTAGTTTAGCAATAGTGATGTTTCACAAATGCATCACTATTAACCCCAGCTGGTAACTAAGCCACTAACACAGCTGCTTGCCTGTTCCCCTCCAGCCCCCTGTGAGATGGGCAGAGGAATTGGGCAAAGACAAATCCTGTGTGTTGAGATAAAAACAGTTTAATAATTGAAATAAAGATAATGATGAAAAGGGAGATAACAGGGAGATAACAGGGAGAAAGGAATAAACCCCAGTAAACACAAGTGATGCACAGTAGAGTTGCTCACCACCTACTGACCCATGCTCACCCCACCCCTGAGCAGCAATTGGTGGCTCCTGGCCACCTTTCCCCAGTTTCTATACTGAACACTACTTTCTGTGGTTTGGAATATTCCTTTGGCTACTTTGGGTCATGCTCCCTCCCGGCTTGTTGTGCCCTTCCTCGCTGGCAGGCCATGGGAAACTGAAAAGCCCTTGACTTTGAGTAAGTACTGCTTAGCAACAACTAAAACATCAGTGTGTTATCAGTATTATTCTCAGACTAAAGCCAAAACACAGCACTGCACCAGCTAAGAAAAATAACTCTATCCCAGCAGAAATCAGGACACTGTTGAAACAGTAGTGCAACCTGAAGCATCTCAGAGACAATACGTACCCTTGTTTAGATTCCAGTGCTGAAAAAAATGTTTCTAAGAGTAGTGAAAGTCAGGAAAATGCCAATATAAAAGGCTACTGTAATGAACTGTCTCCAAAGATTCTCTACATTTACTTTCAAAATTAAATTTTTAAAATAAGAGTGAAAATTGCAACTCATCTACAGGGAAAATAAAATATGGAAACCATTAAAAGAGTGTAAAGGAAAACCCCAAACCCATACTTGTGTATTCAAGAATCTGTAAATTCAGAAGGCAAATTACTAAGCTATAGAGAAATACCAAGAACTGCAGATAATCATTTGGGCATCAAGACAACTCTATGTGTTAATGAACCAACTGACTCTGGAAACATCTAAGAAAGTCAAAGCAGTCGAATGCTGTTTGAAAGCCAGTTACTCTTTTTGTCTTTTGACTATTGGACTATTTGTGGCATCTTTGGCCAGTACTGTCGTGAAGCACAGAATTAATCAATTTGTTAAAAAATGAATCAATCTGTAAATGGTATTTTTTTGGAAGCAGTACTTTATTGGCTTCAAGAAATTTACTCCAAATCACTAAAACTGAGGCAGCAAGGTGCCTTCAGTTATACTTCCCCGTGAACATGCCTGTGGTTTCTTGTATTTCGCAGTGAAGTTTGTTATCTTGTGAGAAGTTGTTAATCTTTAATCTTACATGGCATATTTAATTGTTGTTTTTGTAAAGGTTTTCCCAGTTGTATTTGGGATAATGTAAGAAAGAGACCTACTAACCCTGAACAGGGAATCTACAGGCTAATTATCAAAAATAAGCAGATGTTTTCTTGAACAAGTTTTGCTTTTAAGCTTTAGCTTTATCTTTCAAAGTTTGTAGAGCCCACTATTTGAACAAGTATTTCTTAAATCATAAATCTCTAGCATATTTTTTACTCTCATGTAGCACTCTAGTGTTTGCCTTTGAGGAAAATATAAGCAAAAAATGAAAATCTTGGTAGAGGTTAATATCTCATAAAAGTGTGTCTAAATTGAATCCTCTGAAAATAAGCATGATTTCCCTTCATAACTATTTGCAGGAGTAGGCAGTAGAAGAAAGCTACTAGAAGAAACACCAGAGAAGGAATATGAAATGAATGCAGCCGCAGTCAGTGAAGGCGGCAGTGACCGATATTCAAAAGCAATAGTGATTCCTTCAGAAAATTCTGAAGAAAAAATGGACAGTTCAGTAGCTGACTCTCCACTTGATGTTGAAAAGCCCTTCTCAGATGCCATCCAGAACTATGTCCCAAGTAATGGTAAGCATTAAGTTTCTTAACTGTAAGAAAAATATATTTGCAGTATTAAAAGCAGTTGTAATGACATTGACAATTGTCATGTAAAACCATTTTTTCTTTTCCTCCTCTTTTTTTTTTTACATATGAACAAACCAGGAGGCTGGGTGTATCAGATACTTCTGTGCTTGAATGATCTTGAGATCAGGGAATCAATCAGATCTGTATTTTTGGCCGTAACAAGTGCTATGAGAAAGGTAAGAATTCTTCATGTTATAGTATTGATGTTAATGCAACATTAAGCCAGTTACTGCTTATGTTCTGCAACAAATCTCCTAAAAAGAAAAAAAAAAAAAGAAAAGAGCCTTTTAAATAAACCCTTTGCAGTCCCCTTGCTTCTGGGGGGTATGCTAAATGAGAAAGAACAAGAAAATTTAAGGTTAGCTGTAATTCATCTGCCTCTGTCACTGGTACTGCAGAATCCGATGGCCTCAGTGTGTTAGCTTTTTTCATATAACAGCCATGAAACACCTCGGTGGTCAACATACCAGCTTTTTGTTGTTTCTGGTTTTGTTTTAATGAAACTCACAGCTCCCTCTAATTCCCATGACAGTACTCATTAGATTTGCTTGGACTTAGAAAGTTCAGGTTAGGATGAGTAAAATAACCAGAATACTTCCACTGTCTTTAAAAATTTCAAAGCCTTCATTCCAAACATCCCCATAGTTCAAAACTGCATAAAAAACTTGTCTAAGCAAATATATGCAACACAAAATGGGATTATGAGTGCTATGGGGATGTCTTAAATATCAAATATAGGGACAGAGTGAAGGTGGACTTTAATGGACATAAACTGCACAAGAAACAATGCTGTCAGAGGTGTGTGAGGAAAAGGAGACAGTGTTGCACTGTCATCTCTAAAAAGGAAAGTCATATCAGCTAAAGTGGTATATGGTAAACTTAATTTTGTTACTTTGGTTTGACTGGTAACTAACCACCACATGAATTTGTTCCTGATTTCCAGTATCAAATTCTATAGATTCTGGCTAAATTTTGCAACCAAGGAGACAAAAACTGAAGAGCTTTGCTTTGTTCTCCTTATGAACTGGATTTCGATGATCACTGATAGTTCACTGCTATCGTTCTTGTATTGTTTGACACAGCTAAAAAAGCCACTTCCACCTTCTACCGATCACTTTCTCTTAGGTGGTACCAGCTTTTCAGGCAAGACACTCAACTCTTGCACTGTGAATATTCTGTTAGCATATCTTAGAAAAGGGGGGAGGGGGGGGGAACAAAACCAAAACCAACCAAACAAACAAAAAAAGTGCAGTTAAGTACAGGTAAAAACTTAACAAAATAAATACGATATCAGAACAGTCCTAGTGAACGAGATGAGAAGACCCCGCTGCTCTGTGGCACTACAGCTGCTGTTTCTCGCATCTTTCCCTGCATTTGTGTGCCAGCTGCCCCAGTACGATCGATTTTTCACAGAGAACTCAGCCCAAACCCTCGCCGAGCTCCTCCCGAGCAGGTCCGGTCGGGCAGCAGCAGCGGCCGCGGCCTCCCGCCTGCGCGCAGTGAGGAGGCCGCGGCTGCACCCTGATCCACCTGCGGCCCGCCCCGCCCCGCGCTAGTGCGAGCTCGGGCTGCCCGCCTCTTGGGGTGGCACGTCTACCGCTCGTCAGGCCAATCCCGAGCCCAGCCAGCAGCGTTTTACTTTTGTGAAGGGCTGCTGCCGCCCGGGTACGCATGGACGCGGCAGGTGCCGAAGGGAAGGTGAGTATCCCTCCGCGTAACTTTAAGGAGGAACAGGAGTAGGGTCGGGGCCAGCAGGGCAACGTCAGTAGCAGAATAAGGGGGGGTGGGGTGCGGTGGCTGTACGCTGAGGGCAGCTGTCGGTCCTTCTCGTCGGAGTGTGAAGGGCAGAGTCTGGCGGGAGGGGTCCCGGAGACTCAGCGGCTCCCTAGATCCGCAACACAGCCGAACCCGGCTGCGCCGGGAGGACGACGGCACCCCTGAGGCGCACCTGCCCCCGGCCCTGCCGGCTCCGTAGTTTGAAGCCGCGGCCAGAGGCACCCCCGCTCCCGGTGGAAGCAGGGCCGTGAGGTCCGGAGGCTGCTGCCCCCGTCGCCCTCTCACCTCACTCGGCAGTAGTATTTCCCGCTCCGTTCCCCCCCGGCGGCGGTGTTGCGCCACCATTCCTGTCGCAGTGGTACAATCTGCCGACCCCTTCAGGTTCTCCCGGCTTCTCCCACCTGTGGCCGCGCTGCTCCCCTCCCCTTTTCCGTCTTAGCAGTGGTCTTTCCTTCCTCCCCTTCCACCCCGGTAGTGGTACAGGCCGGTTGTCAAGCGGGTGGCCGGAAGGAGCCGCACGGCGGTAGGCTCGTGCCGCCCGCGGCAAGATGGCTGCTGGCGGTCGAGGCGATGGTTTGGATGTGACCAGTGCGAGCTTATGGCTGGGCCTGCGGGAGAGCGCGCAGCGATACTGCGGGTTGGCCTTGGAAGGGGCGCGCAGGGTGAGCCGGAACACACTTCCGCCCGCGGCTGGCTCCGGCGCACCTGAGCCGTAGCTGGGGTCTCGCACCGCGGCCCTCGGCTTTGAGGGGAACGGCGCTGTCGGGGGTGGCGAGGGGCCCAGGGCTGATAGAAACGGACCCGCACCGTCAGGTGTGGCGCAGAAACCGCGTGAGCCGGGGAGCGCCTTGGCGGTGTGTGTCGGGGCCCAGCAGCCTGCCGAGGGCTGCGCAGCCGGGAAGTGGAGGTCGGGACAGGATCGGGGCTGAGCGGCCCCTGCTGAAGCTTTCCCCGGGAATGCCAGGTTGGACGAAACCTTGGGTGACATGGTTTAGTGTGAGGTGTCCCTGCCCATGGCCGGGGGGGTGGAACTAGATGGTCTTAAGGTCCTTTCCAACCCTGACTATTCTATGATTCTATGAAAGAGCCAAACCAGTGAAGCAGAAGCTCTCTGATTTCACCCCCACGCACACAAATCTAGATTAAGTCTTTACAGTAACACATTTCTTAAGCACAGGTCACACGGAGTAAACGTGAGCTACATTAAGCAGGTGTTTGAACAAATAGTGATATCTATCTACAAATAAATTGTGAGTGTATTTAAGTGTTTAAATGTGTTAAATCATTTGATTGTTTGGTGTGTTATTTTAGGATGAAGGTGGGCGAGGAGATTTTCATACCAAGCAATTTTTCTACCACTTAATCATAAAATACTTATAAATAAATACTTATTAGTACTGATTCTTCTAACAGCGAAGTGTGTAGACCACATGAAGGAGAACTTGCCCTAATTGGATAATTAGTGTGTTCAGAAGGAAAAGTTTTCAGAGCTTTATCTCATCATCATATCTTGTTGGAAGTTTTTTTTTTTTGCTTCACATGGTATATGTGTAATTTAAAAACCAAAGGTTTCTGTTATAGTTTTCTCAGAATTTTGGAAAAAAAATAGGTGTGCAAGCCTTAGATGTAAACTAAGCCAACGTATAATGTCTATTTCTGTTGAAAGTATTAACCTCTTTTCCTTTAGTTGAAACTTTTCACTTTGTTTTTCAGGCTGTGGCTTCACTGCCAGAAGATATGAGACCTGGTCCTGATCTTTATGGTTTTCCGTATGAAATAGTGATTTGTGCTGGCATTGCTGGAGCCTTTACAGTTCTTTTGTTCCTGTATAGAAGTTACCAGTCGGTAAGTGTCATGGTTTAACTCCACCTGTCAGCTAAGCCTGGTGCAGCTGCCTTCTCACTCACTCCCCCTGCATTGGGATGGGGGAGAGTCTTGGAAGAGTCAAAGTGAGAAAACTATGGGTTAATATAAAGGCACTTAATGGGTAAAGCAAAAGCTGTGAGTGCAAGCAAAGCAAAGAGTTTATTCACCACTTCCCATTGTCAGGCAGGTGTTCAGCATCCTCAGGAAAGCAGGGCTTCATTATGTGTAACAGATACTTAGGAAGATAAACGCCATTATTCCTAATGTTCCCCCCTTCCTCCTTCTTCTCCCAGCTTTATATGCTTAGCATGATTTTATATGGTGTTAGGGTATCCCTCTCGTCTGTCGGGGTCAGCATTCCCTGCTGCATCCCCTCCCAACCTCTGCACCCTCAGCCTACTCACTGGTGAGAGCAGAAAAGGCCTTGACTCTGTGTAAGCACAGCTCAGCAGTAATGGACACTTCCTTCCCTGTGTTAGCAACACTGTTTTCAGCACAAATTGAGAAGAGTCCCATAGTATCTCCTATAAAGAAAACTGACTGTATCCCAGCCAAAACCAGCAGTGTTAAAATCACATGCAGATATGTAGAGTGCATTAATGATTTGAATTGAATGGCTTGAATTGAATTCACTATTCTTTTCAAAATATACAGTGTTTCAGAGTTTTAAATCTGTTGTGATTGAATTTAGAAACCCTCTAAAGGAGAAATTGAGAAGTAGCTTGTTTTGTCAAGACAGTAAGCATTTGGACAGGTACTGAGTGACTGCTATCATTAGAGCAAATGTAATGAAACTTGTAATAAGGCTTCTTTTTTTCTTCCATTTTTAATTTCTGCACCAGACTTTCAAAGTCAGCCTTTAAGTTATTTCTCTGGGATATAGAGGTCTTCCCTAGGGAAGAGATGAGAGGATGCTGTGTTACAACTTTACAAAGTTTCTGTAGGTTCAGCCAAGTTCTGCATCTCTTGTCCAGGCTATTTGTGACAGATTTTGTCCCACAGTTTGTTAGATTTTTATTCTAGGGCACTAGACCCCATGTGGCAGCTGCAGATTTGGCACTTCCCACCAAGGTGCATTTGGGCAGGATGCCCATCAAGTAGTACCATGACCCCAGCTCTAACTGTTAAGTATTATAACATGTGGGTTTTTTTTTTCCTCATAGGAAGTTAAGTCTGAGCTAGCAAGTGGAGCTTCCCCTTTCCTCCCCTTTTCTACTCTTTTGGCTATGTATGTGCACTACCGTTTTGTGTTGACAGTCATGGTTATATGATGACTATACAGAGGTGTATTATAAAAGTGATCCAGGTGACAACTAACCTCCTTTCCCCTCTTCTGTCTAATTAGAATGGGAGAAGGACAGGGCAAACATAGCTATGGAGGGGACAAGAGCAGAGGATGCAGACGCCCATTTTAACAGCACCCTGTACTTATCTCTCTTTTTCTTTTTTTTTTAAAGTTCCAAGGTTAAACTGATCATGGAACCACAGCTTAAAAGATTACTTTTCAGATACTATGGAAGAGTAATTGATCAAACATTTTCAATATTTATTCTTTTTATTTCAGGTTAGAAGTCGACTTTATGTAGGTAAGCTTATTTTTCATACTGTTGTTTGGGTTTTTTTTTGTGTACGACTTTTTGGTTGGTTGCGGGGGGGGGGGTCCTCCTTTGAATTATTTGAGTGTTGCAACACTTAACTGCATATTTGTTTTGGTTTACTTTGGGATTTTTTTTTGGTTTTTTTTTTAGGAAGGGAAAAACAGTTTGCCGATAAAATTGCTGAACTAGTTGAAGACAAATGCAAAATTCTTGAAAAACTCAGCCTTTGCAAAAAAGAGGTAATGGTCCTCATTTATTGCTTTCAGATGTGTCACAGAAATAGGCTCATTTATCTAAGTATTAAATTTATCCAAAAGTAAGACGTTTAAAGGCTTTCAAAGTGATTCTTCAAATGCTTTTTCCTCTGAGTGCCTTTAAGTGCAATTAATTAGAAAGTTCTGCCTTTAATTCTTAATACAATATATTTCACTGGAAGGAACTTCAAAATGGCTTTGTTTTATGGCACTGGGATCATCTAACAGGACTAAGGCATTCCTGAATTACAGCAAGGTGCATTTGTGAATATTTAGGTGGTTGCTATGTTTCAGACTGGGGCATCATAAATTAATATTGTTGTTTCAGCCAATTCTTTACATACATTCTGACATAAAATATTTCTTTTCAGTTTGAAGATTTAGAATTGTCTCTGAAGGATGGTAATGTTATAAAAGAATCAACAGACACGTCTTTTTTTGAGGTAAAAAGATAAATAGAAATTGTAATTTCCACAGCTTAAGTCAGTTTTTCAGGAAAATGCCGCCCATACTAAAAAAAAAACAAAACACAAAAGAAAAACAAATAAGCAAAAAAAGCCAAACAAAGCACAAAACCCCTTGTTTTGAGAGCATTGTTATTTTAGTCTTGGATTACTGAAAATGACATAAGTAAGACATTTAAATTAAGACAAGTTGTTTTAGCAATTGCATTAAAATAATTGATGCTGGAGCAAATGGCATGTTAGACAATATTTATTTTTTAAAAAATTAAATTGTTTCTAAGAGAGAGAGTAGTGCATGAAGTATTTTTTTCTCAAATCTGGCTGAATTAATTTATATTTTATAGGCTACTGGAGCACAGTTGTAAACAGAAATTACCACTACATTGTTTATATTGCCCAAACTGAGAGTATATTTGTAAAAGAGTTCAAAAAAAGTGAATCAAATGCCTAGTAGGCTCTGTGAAATTTATGTAATTGAAAAGCAAATAGATTTATTTCATTCTGCACCTCAGATCCTATAAAGCTGATTGTTACAGGGTTTGTTAACATGTAAGAGTCTCTAGAGTACTTTGAAATTTACCCTTGATATAGTTAAATTTGTTCAATATACTTTGCTGTCATATTTAAAACATACTTGTCATGTTCATATGTAATTAATGTCAAATATTTTATTTTAACTGTCGAAACAACTGGATTTAGGAAATGCATGAAAAACTGAACAAGTCAAACTTGGAACTCAACCAAGAAATAGAGAATTTAGAAAAAGAACTGGAAGAAGAAAAATCAAAGCAATCAAAAAATGATAGCTTGGTAAGAATAAATGGAATCCTTTTTGTGTTACTATTTATTAAAAAAATATACCACAATACAAATCTCAGTGGAGAAGACAAATAAATCTCTTTGGGTTTGTTTTTTTTTTTGAAACAAAAAATATGTTTCCCATTTTGTGTCCCTTCATAGTCCTTGTGGCATATCAGAAAAATGACACCCAGAAAGGAAAATAATCAAAAGATGAGATCTGTGTTTACTGATTTGGCAGTAGAACCTTCTCAGTTTGAAAATTAAAATAACTTTATTAATTGCCTAGACCTTTTCAGTCAAATCTGTGGAAGAAGCTATATGACAACTAATAATTTTCAGGTGGCTGAAAGTGAGGAGAGAGTGGAGTCTTTAGAGAATGAAGTAAAATCTCTCCAATCACAGATTGATGAGGT